ACTTGTTTCAAATGGTTTATCACATAATTCATTGTTATTGGCCACGTGAAGAAATTGGAAACCACTCAAGTCATGCCACATCAGGAGGCAGCAACAATTAAATATTTTTTTTTGTCGCAGAAATCATTCCATCCCTGGTTCTATCACCCACCCACACTGGCAACATGTACATCTCATGAAGTTTACACGAACTTTTTGGCAAAACTAAAATCTGAAAACGAAGTAATGCTGCTTTGTTAATGCGGCTAAATGACAGCAAAGTGATAATTATTCTTATATTGTGCACCCAGCATGAAGAAACAGCAGGTCATTTTATGATCCAGTAGATGGGTGTGTGATTTAGGAACTTGGCAAAACCAGACTCGGGCGTTCCTGACTGACACGGACTACTTAACGCATCACCAGCGTCACAGCCGCCAACAGCACCGGTAAAACGTAAACTCAGAGGGAAGGTAGTTACAGGCAAACAGTTCTTGCAGTTAATTAGTTCTGACAGACCGGAGGACTGAGTGTGCGTCTTAGAACATTTCACCACACTTAAAAAAAGATGCTAACATCTCTCATGTTTTTTTTTATATCAAACGCATACAAGCCACAGGCAAGATAAACCGCCGAGCCCACTTGAACACGGAGCCAGCAGCTGGGCGTAGAAAGACTAATAATATTTGGCAAACAGGTGATAATTGCAATACAGGAGAATCTGTACATTTTCCGACTTTTTTTTACTGCAATAGCTGCATAAAAAAAAGTTGGTAGAGCTTCCTCATTATAAAATAAAGTCCACAGAAGCCTCTGACTACAACATCGTTTGAACACGGGCATTGCTCATTCGAACAACTCCTATTCGCTGCAACATTCTGTGATGAAGACACCTTTCACTCAAGCTGTCTTCTGGACAGTCCTGTTTCTTCACCTGAAGAAGGCTACTTGTGTTGTGGCCGAAACGTCGTTATTATTATTATTTTATTTCCATTCTACGTGACTTTACCGAAATAACCAAGGAGAAGACACCTCTGTTCGCCTTGTACGATCGCAACACTTTTACTTTCATGTTCCACTCATTACAGTGATATTTTTTTTTTCCCCAAAGCAAACCCCCAGCTTTTTCTCTTAACAGCATACGCATTTCCACAAAGCCGTTGCAGCCCTGCCCCGGTCGCTCCCTTCACCAAACGTTTGCATAGGTACAGCAGTAAGTGCGGTGCTTCCGATGCGCATTTTGCTTACACTCAAAAGTAAAGTGATTAAAGTGTCGACGCCAAGGCGGGGGTTCACGCAGGATTCGTTTTCGCACGACGTCAACGGAACGTATTGGGCCACCGAAGCCTCACCAAGTGACGTAGCCCAAGTGAGGCTTAGTCTAGCGACGCTGGCATGCGTGACCGCAGTGAGACGCCGACCACGGAGCTGCTGATATGACATCAGTGGTAATTTGAACTCATCAGAATGGATTTTTGAAAATGTTTTCTCCCTGCGTAAGGGTCGTAGTTTGCACACAAACTTGGATCAAAAAATGAACGCAACACCAGCGGGTTAACGATGCCATGAAGCTTTGCGGTGGCGGCGAGCACCTTTTTTTTTTGGCGCAGCGCGAGGCCAGCGACGTTCACTTGAGCGCGGTTCTAATATCCTGAGTGAATCCAACTTCGGCGCTGCTCATAGGTCACCAGTCCGGCGCCTCGGAGCGATGCCCTGAGTCGTGCTGCCCTCCACCGCGTGCGGTTCATCCATGCGCGTGCTCTCGCGCCAGCCATGGCCGCGTCTCCACTGTGACATCATCCTTCCGGGGGCCCGCACGACGGACCGACCAAAGTCAAAAGACAAATGCACGCCCGCTGAAATGAATCGCGCACAACTTATTACGGTCGTCGTAAACGCACGATTGCTTCCCAATCGAGAGACGTCCGCCAGGCTGGGAATGAAGTCGGCCCTGTGTAGATGCCGATAGCCAGCAGTCGACAACGCTCAAGGTGCAACAGATTCCACACCCGCACACGGTCGCGTTGTTCCAAAGCTGAGAAATGCACGCGTCACACCGGGTTTTTGTCCACGCGAGTGAAATGATGTGCGTCTCGCATCAAATGGTCTTCAAGCTTATGGGACGCGCTCCTCGGCTTACATTCGTCATCTCGGGAGGCACATTCAAACGGAGCACTTCAACAAAGTCACACGTAACCATCGGGGGCTTCACCCATTCGGCAACCACTCACCTTCGTGTCAGATTATTTTACTCATCCGACCAACAGTAAGGTGCATCTGTTGTAGGCTAGCTTAAGGGCACTCTCTATGAACAGTACATTCCACCAACTAAGCCACATTTCCACCTTTTCAGCATAGATTCGCCAATCCCTGGGCGCTTTAACTTTCTAGCACTCTGCCTTTATGCTGAAAAAGAGATGCAAATTCATCATCCGAGGAAGTTTAAAAATAAATCCCATGTTAATAGGATTACTAACTTAGGCAAATTTGCGTAAAGGTGACTGCTAACTGTAGAAAGAACAAAGTCTGGCTTCCCTCGGTGGAACCTGCAGAAGTTCTTCAGCTAAAGTTGCGCTTCTGCAGCCGTCTGGAATGCTCTTCCTTCTGACATTAAAAAGCCACTGGGGCGATGCACTTTAAAAACATCCATATTGACAACTCCTTTCTTTAGAACTGCTTATTATGTGTTTAATTTGTTGCCCTACCCCCCACCTCTGATGAGTGTGGTTCGCGAAAGAAGTTCAACACACATACATGAAGCTAAACGGTGCAATTGTCAAACATTGACGTTGTTTTGCGCAACGTTATCGTTGACTTTGCTCCGTTTAACACGGGGCTGAAATTTGCACAAGGCCCTGACAACATAGGGCGCCGAGCACGCCGATTAGCTGGATGGGGATCACATGGTCATCATGGCAATGCTTAAGTTTTAACAGCTGACCTTTTTTATGTATGGGCATCAATGCGCGGAGACTTTTTAACAAGAATTATGCATTCGTTTATAAAAGTAATAGTTCATCTTAGTTACTTGTCTCACATTGTCCTATTTTGGGCCTCAATTGCTGGTACGGCATGCCGAGTTATTTGACTTTACGTCACAGGCCATGCAGGTGCCTCTCCTTTGTCCTGATCGTCTCTCGGGGGTCTCTTGCCAGGCTGCCCAGGCAAGAAGGTAGGGTTGAGATCGGGCCTCTCAACCTCATTCATTTGATATACTTTGTGTATTTTGAACTTCTTTCGCACCGTACGTAGCCAACCATGCTAATTGGAGGTGCGGCGGGAGGACAACTTTCATAGTTGCACACAACACACACATATAGGCTGAATTTTACAGCTCAGTCACATGCAACAGTGCTTTAAAACAGGAGGAGCAAAGTCCCTCCGTTTGACATGTGATGCAGTTCAACATCAGAAGGTTGCAATAAAGTTATGAAACGCAGAAACATTGCACACGCGATTAACTTCAACTTCAGACAGTAAGGGCTTGCCTCGGCCGTCTGCTAAGACAGGAACTTGTCCAATAAGCTGCTCCTGAATTTTGGGCGTTTCTCACACATGGCCCCAACTTTAATGTCTACATCGTTCAAGCCGCAGGGGGTTCCACCTGTCTTGGAGTTTCCCCAGGATGTCTCTTTTTGAGGTCGCCGCTGTCCAAGTTAATCTGCAAGTCCTTCCGGGACATTAAAAGCACCGTTTTACATCAGTTGTGTAATAATACACCACCCAGGACGATGCATTTGCATACAGTTTCTCTTTTCTGGCATTATGAAATATTTTTTATTCCCATCATACATGTTAATTCTTTGTAAAATCTTCGCAAATCAGAGGTGCCAACCATCACTCCTGCTGTATATTTGGAATTTGCATTTCTCTCTCCCCGAGGTCGCATGGATTTTCCTCCGGGTCAACAGCACGCGTTTAGAGTATTTGGCTTGTTATACATTTCCATGCGATAATCCACTTCGTTGAGCTATGAATCGTGGCCAGGTCGTTTCTGAAAAAGAGCTGACGCCAGCTCAATTGGGTCGAGGCTCAAAAGAAAGCCGTCCCTTGGTGTGGACCAATCAGTTTCAAGGACAATGCATATATTATCATAGTATGTTTTGTTTGCATTTTGACTGCAGGTATTGTGGTTAATGCAGACACGAATCCTCGTTAAAAAGGTTTCAGTTTTGTTGCCAGAAAAAAGGGGAAAAACCCTATTATTACATTTTGGTACTGGCAAAGGAGGTCTAATGATGAAAGAGCAATATAGTTTAGTGGGCCTTGTCTGGTAGAATAGTTCATAGTCTGTATCAACCGGCAAACGATTTGTGGGGGAAGCGCCACTTCAGGAGCGGCTCACCAGCCAAATGCCCGAGATCCTCACAGTGAGGCCCGTTCACAACGTTTGGCAAGAACGGCTCTGCAGGAGTTCCTTTCAGGGCACTCGCCACGAGGATCCCACGAATCCCAAGCTCCGGGCATCCAGATGGCAGGTCCACACACGCCTCGTCACACGTCACACGCCACTGATATGTTACGGCTTCAGGCTTGAAAACATCAACGGTCAAGACGGACTCGAGTGAATATCATTTCTACCCGTGGCACTGCCACACACGCACCTTTATCATGGTGAGCCATTTAGTGTAAATCTTGCCATCGTTAACGATCATGTAGAACCCCGGTGCTTATACGTACATTAAAAAAATTCATACTTTCCATGTTCCCGACTGAATAGGACTTTCGCACACACACCAACCAGGCCAAATGGGTCTTGCCTACGAATGTCAACCACGATGTGTGAATATAAACTGTTACAAATAAATAGTGATGCAGAAAAGAAACCCCCCCATAAAAACCGTGTGTAACATGGGCCAAGTATTCAAACATTCATAAAAGTCAGCAAGTCAATAATCCTTGCAAAGGATGTACGGCTCTTTTAGATTAGTCATTGAATGTTGTATTCTAATATTTCACCTCTATTACTTCCAAAAATAAAGCCATGTTAAGCTCTTATCCGTCAGTTTTTCTCATCATCCGATTGTAGGGTGACCTTAAGACGACGCAGCGAATGGGATGCAGCTTCACGTGTGTAATTTGAGACAAGAGTCTTTGAAATGTTGCTCTTTAAGTGCAATTGCATCTTCCACGTGTACATTAAATTGAACACCATTGTGGAACATGACAAAGGAGGCTTTTGTCGCCGGAAATGTCAAACAACGTTTTTGTACAAAGCATGGCAAATGGCTATATAATCCTCCAGCTGAGCTGATTTGTACATTACAGAACCGTAATCGTGTGCTTACTGTGAAACACATTTACCATCGGGACCCGGCTCTCTACCGAAGGGGGCTCGCAGGGCCTTAAGTGGATGCTACCACCCAGCCACCCCATACTAAACATTCCCGGCTGTGTTTCATGACTGCTAAAAAAAATTGTTTTACTCTTTTAAAAGGTAACAACGTGTGCATGTCGAATCTCAAGCTGTGCTTCGCTACAAACCATCCGCACAATGGTGGACAGCAGCGGTTGGATGTTGGATACCTTTTTAAAGAAAGCCGACATCCAAAATCAACTTGCAAATAAATGTATTTCATTGCGCCTCAGCACGGACCCTAATTTAAACGGCAGATTGTCACTCACAAAGCTTTAGCCGAGGCGGCACACAATCGGTCATAGAACAAATCAAACTCGCCGCTCAACTACTGTAATAAAACGCACAGGTCTGCAAACCCGTGTGGCGGACTTAAATACCTCTTTTCCATTGTACAAGCGAGCCGCGCTGGCCCGGCCCGGGTTCGGCAGGCACCAGGTTTGTATTTCTACTGTGGAACCTCGCCCCTGGCCTGCGCTTGCCCCCCCCGAGCCAAATTCAGATGCCTTGTGAGACCAAGAGTTTCACGGGTTGGTTCCGACTCTGCTCGCGCAAATAACCAGTGAGAAAGCTTGCATTCCGCAAGGGGGCGCTTGCGCTGGCGTGGTTTGGATGTGCCCGTGGAAAAGGGCCAAAGGTCTCCTATTGGTCCAACATTTGCAACCCGGAACAAGCACCAATCAGCCTCGTCGATGAACATGACGCAACTTTCCTTCAGTCGCTCCTCTGCCTGGCGGCATCCTCTCGGTCAACGTCGACAGGGTATAAATATAACATTACTTTACAAGAGTGGGTTCGTTGAGGATTGTTTGTACGATACTGCATTTCACTTTGTAACAACATCCTATTCACAAGGACGATGATATAACCCCCTTCTTTCGACTTCTAACACCCACAGTATCCGCCCACTCTCGGAGAGACGCGACGAACTACAGACAAGTGGGCGCCACCAATTGCCCAATCTCTGCGGTCCTCGAAATATTAAGGTGTTATCAGCCAATTCATGAGAGTTTATATGTGGGAGGAAATCGGGGGCACCCGAAGTACCCCCGCTCGTGCTATGGGTCAACAATATGGACGCATCAGGTGAGGTCCACATTTGTTGTGCTGCCTTCTCCTGGCAAGCCACAGTATGGTACCTCGATGCCCAACCTGAAAGAGGCTTCGCAACGTTTTGTGCGGTGCACCGACCCTCGCCTCGACGGTGTTGGATTCCAGGCGTGCGCCACCGCCGCCTCGCAATGCATTGAAGGCATTGAAGCTGAAGGGACATGGGGGAGCGAAAGCTGAATATCAATCCTATGGGATCACTCAGCATTGCCGAGATACAATTCCAATACCAGCAACCTTATTTGTTAGCCCAATTTTCTAGCGTAGTGATGTCCTGTCAAATAATGTACCATGTTGAACGTATTTCGCAGCGTACATAGCCAACCGTGCTAATTACTATTCATAATGCATTTAACAAGTGCGAAAAACACAGCGCTCTCCAAGATCCGCATAACAGCTCTGTATTCCACAGAATCTGTCTTCTCTTTTGGGGAAAGAACATCTTGCCAGGAATGATGATAAAAAAGGGTTGCCTGGGCTTCATTATGAGAGGTGGCACACGAGATGATAAATAAATGCAACGTCAAACACGATGCAGTCCCGGTGCATTATGGGACTCCAGTGCATGCTCAAAACGGCAAGAGTGCCCCTTCCACACCTCAGGACAGAGCACAACCCACGAATGAACGTCTATCCACATTGACTGCAAGTTCATCGTGGGAATTCCCAGTGCTCAGGGCATGCGAGCCAAGGTCACTTCCAAAGTGCTTTGCTGTCCACGCTCAATAACTGCGCGATATTGAATGTATTCGTTCAATCATTTTAGGAGCGGATTTTTAAAATGATCAATTCCTCCTCTCTTAATCCCCAACGCCGGAGGCTGTTTTGTTGCACTTCAAGAATAATCTAAGCAAAGAGAGAAGAGTGTGACGAGCGGATTGCCGAGCGCAGTGACGAGCGGAGTGCCGAGTTGTAATTTTACGGTCCGTTGTGCCGCGCCATTTCCATTTTTCAGAAAGATGATGCTGTCACCGCCGAGCATCATCACCGTGTTGCGCTCCGTCTATTCCTGTCGGAACAGGCATCCCACTCGCAACATCTGCTCGCCAATAAACGCCAGGCTGAGAAATATTGTTTGTTGTACAAATCTCCGTTGAGGCGTCACTTTCCTCGATGCGTGGTTCACCACGAGCTTCCTGTGATGGCAAACTACTTGTTCCATAATGATGCGGAGAAAACAATCTCCTCCTGTAAAGCATAACGACGACGAGCAGCATCAGGGGGTCACTGGAAAACATGACGAGACGATGCTCTCGCTCTTGCCTGCGTGCAGCTGCTCCTGTAGATATATATATTTTTATTTGTTTCGGTAAAAAAAAAAACACCACAGGGCCACTCGGCAAGCCCAGAAGTGATGAGTCTGAGGCTTCGCTGTGCCATTCTGAGTGAACCTTCGACGGGGGTGGCTTTGTGCACGCACAGCGGTGGAACCAGAGACTGTGCCACCTGGCCCGGCTGCGACCCCAGAACCTGCGAGCGGCAAATCGGTTGCACAAACCCGACCCCTCCCCCCTCCACCCGCCACCCGAGCGCCACAGATGAACGACTATGTGCAGAAAAGCATCCACGAAATGGCACTTGCAGCGATGACGTCCTCCCCAAGTGTCTCCGGGGCGGGTGCTGAATGGAGAGCGGCCTCCCTGGCGGCATCCTCTCGGCCAAGTGGCTCGCGCGCGCGCAACGCACACGCGCCACCGAGCCCGTGGTGTTCACCGAAGGTCTCGACCCATCGCTGACTGTTCGCATTTCCTGCGTTGGGACCGCCTCCGGATGCGCAAGGGATGGCCATCGGAGTCGCGTGCCCTTCTGTTGAAAGCTCAGGTTCACAGGCCCCGCGGGAGAACGCCCGGGCAGCCGTGCAGTCGGGACCGAGAACCAACGGTGGCGCCCCTCTCGGAGCGTGCGGGCGGTTGCGGCGGCGGTGGTGGTGGCAGGGGCACGAGGGCGCCTACAGGTCGACGCGAAAGCTGAGCAGCTTGCGCGAGTGCATGCCGTTGAGGGCGCGCAGGTCCGACAGGCGAAGCAGCGTGCGGGACAGCAGCGTCGGGTCGTTGCCGTGGTTGCGCGTCAGCAGGGCGCCCAGCCCCCGCGTCAGCGCCTCGTGGAGCCGCCTCACGGCACGGGTGTCCTCCACGCCCGCCCGATCTGATCGCGCGGAGAGAGGAAGGAGGCACGGCGAGGCCGCCCCCGGTGAGCGCACAGGCGAGTTCGGCGCCGCACGAGTCAACCGTGGCGCAGCGCCGCGACGCGCACTCGTGTGGACGTGCCCACCGGCGATGCGGGATAGGGAATGCGAGGTAATAATCTACAAGAAGCGGCATTTATTTTGTTACAGAGGAGAGCCTCACTGGGAGTCTCCAGACTTTTTGAGTGCTGTCCTAAAGTTGGATGTTGGCCAATGCCATTAAAGTGTGTTTGGATTTGTGTGGGATGAGGCATAGCGCTGTCATGTCCCAACTCTTAGCTACAGCTCTGAATGCCGAGCTCTGCTTGACCGACCACGGGCCCAATGATGCAGTGATTTGTGAACTCGGCTGCTTCGCGTACGGGTCAACAAACCGATTCCTCGAGTTGTGGTCGGTTGTGCTTGGAGTGTAGTTTGGGGCTGTAGTGGTGAGTGGCTCGCGGGTTTCTTTAGGCTTCCGGTTGCTGAACGAATACATTATACATTATTATACACTCAAAGTGCTTGCCACAAATGGACCACGATGCCTTTCTGATCTCGTCAAGGGGCATAAATCATCACGGTCATCCTCGCAGTGGCTTTTGGCTAACCATCGAATAAAGATGGTCACCAGATCGCGCACTTCCAGATGGGCTCCCGTGGCCGTCTGGAATGCTCTTCCTTCCAATATTAAGTAGCCGGTGGAGCTATGAGCTTTTAATTCTAGATTGAGAACGAATTCCTTTAGAACTGCTGTTTGTGTCCAGTCTGTTGCCCTTCCCTCGCACCTCCGATCAGCACGGCTGGCTACGTAGGTCGCGAAAGAAGTTCAACACACACATGCAGCGCATGGTTGTGATTTTTTTTTGTGCTGTCGCATCGCGGTATCGGCAAATTCTGAGCCGCGTGCGCTTTCGCTGTCGACCGTGGCGCGGGGGGCGTCACCTGCGGAGACGAGCGTGACGGCCATGAGGAACCCCAGCTCCTCGGGGGAGAGGCGCAGCGACTCGAGCTTCTCGCCGAAGTCGAACATCGCCACCAGCAGCTCCCCCATGCCCATGGCGCTCAGCTCGTCCTCGCCGAACCGCCGGCCCCCCAGGAAGGTGAGGCAGCGCTCGCGAGAGTCGAAGAGCCACGCGAAGCGCACCATCAGCACCTGCCGCCCGTCACGCCCGCCCGCCCACGCACGACACGACACGCTCGCACAGCCGGAGGAGGATCCCCCGCGGGGGAAACGGCTGGCGACGGATCTCGTGGCGCGATCGTCGGTCGACAAACGGTCGGGCGACGACTGTCATCGATCGTCGTTAATCGGCGCAGCAACGGTCGAGCGACAACTGGAGCGGCTATGCTCGGAACGAATCGGCGGTCTGCGTTAAATACACGGCGCCTCAATCCCCGAGGGGTAAAAAAATAAATAAACAAATTGGTTAATTTGCATTCGACGAATTATTTTGGATGTATGCGGCAAAATAAATTGGTTCCCGTTGGTAATTTTTGAAATCGGTAGCCGCTATTGTGTGTTATGGTCCGGACCTATGTTATGTTGCGATAGCATCAGAGGAAGATGCTATTGCAATACTGTATGGCGAAACACTCCTGCAGCGATCTGTACTTGTCGCGACGCACATTTTAAGCCTCCGCCGAACTATCAACACTTCTAGCATGCCCTGCAGTACAAGATAGACTGTGGCGATCACAAGTCCTCGCGGTAAATCGTTTATCTGAAGCAATGCACGTTATCCACGAGTGGCCGTGTTCAAGGCTAGCCTCACAAGTGTCTCACTCTTAGCTACAGCCCTTTGTGAGTGGCTGGGTGAGTGGCTGGGTGAGTGGCTGGGTGAGTGGCTGGGTGAGTGGCTGGGTGAGTGGCTGGGTGAGTGCTAAGAAATGCAGCGAGCGATGCTAGTCACCCGCCCCCACCGCCAGTCACCCTCCCCCACCGCTAGTCACCCTCCCCCACCGCTAGTCACCCGCCCCCACCGCTAGTCACCCACCGCCAGTCACCCTCCCCCACCGCTAGTCACCCGCTCTCACCGCTAGTCACCCACCACCAGTCACCCGCCCCCACCGCTAGTCACCTGCCCCCACTGCTAGTCACCCACTCCCACCGCTAGTCACCCGCTCCCACCGCCAGTCACCCTCCCCCACCGCCAGTCACCCTCCCCCACCGCTAGTCACCCATTCCCACCGCTAGTCACCCGCTCCCACCGCTAGTCACCCACTACCACCGCTAGTCACCCGCCCCCACGGCTAGTCACCCGCTCCCACCGCCAGTCACCCACTACCACCGCTAGTCACCCGCTCCCACCGCTAGTCACCCACTACCACCGCTAGTCACCCACTCCCACCGCTAGTCACCCGCCCCCACCGCCAGTCACCCGCCCCCACCGCTAGTCACCCGCCCCCACCGCTAGTCACCCGCCCCACCGCTAGTCACCCGCCCCACCGCTAGTCACCCACTCCCACCGCTAGTCACCCGCCCCCACCAGTAGACACCCTCCCCCACGGCTAGTCACCCTCCCCCACCACTAGTCACCCACTACCACCGCTAGTCACCCACTCCCACCGCTAGTCACCCACTACCACCGCTAGTCACCCACTACCCCCGCTAGTCACCCACTACCCCCGCTAGTCACCCGCCCCCACTCCTCCCTCACCTCGAACGTGCCGGACTTGAGCAGGGCGACCTGGTCGTGGCGGGAGAGGCCCTGGAAGCCGGGGACCCCACGCGCGAACTCGATGACCTCACGAACGGCCGGCGTGAAGCAGTGGGAGAAAGCCTCCCACGCCGCGTGGGGGCCCCCCTCGTGCAGCCCCAGCGGGTTCGAGTTCAGGGGGCACGCCTGGACAGACACGGCCGAGACCACGGTGGCGAGATATTAACGACCTCGCCCGGCATACAGGAGGTGGTGGGTTGGAGTCTGCACGTTCACCCCGTGCTCGGTTTTTGCCTCCACAATTAGAAACCCGCGTGTACAGTCCTTGGCTGCTATTGCATTTCCACGTGATGAAACACTTCATTGAGATATCATTTATGGCCAGGTCGCTTCTGAAAAAGAGCTATATAGCTCAAGTCGGCCTCACCTGGTTATTTGTTCCATCGCTCACCTCGCCCACGATCACGCCGTGCACACCCACGCTCGAGAACAAACGCTCGGCGCGCAGTCTCACCCCGACGACCGGCTGCAGAAGCGCACGCAGCGTGTGCGATTGTGCTCCTCAGAACCTGGGGGTGCCCGCGGCGAGCCTCACCAGGACGTTCGGCCGAAGGTGCGGAACCGGACAGAATCCGGAGAGCGCGCCGACATCGTCCCCCGCGGAGGCCGCTCCACCGCCGCCGCCGCCGCCGCCGCAGCCCCTCGGCGAATCGTAGGCACTGTCGCCCGAGCCCGGGTCCGACCACTCCCCGTAGCTGCGGCAGCTGGCGCGGCCGTCGCTCTCGCAGTCCGTGCTCATCTCGCAGAAGCTCGCGAACGGTCGCAGGCCCTCGGGCGGCCGTCCCAGGTCGGGGCTGGCGGGGCCCCCGGGGGGGCCACGGGAGGGCAACGGGTGGCCGGCGGTGGCGAGCGACGATGGCGCGGGGCGGCTGCCGCCACCCGGGGGGACATCGGGCTCGGCCGGCGGCACCTCGGAGACGAGGCCCAGGCTGCGCATCTCGGCGAGGAGCCGCTCCTTCTCCCGCTTGGGCGTGCGGCCGTACCGCACGGCTGCTCAGGGCGATACGGTGGTGGTGGTGGTGGCGGGGGGGGGTGCGGACGTATCGCGCTTTACGTTACAAGTCCAGTGGCGGCTCGTGACGTCTCCACTTGGTGGGGCTGTTGTGAGTGACCTCTGAAAATGTGGCGTTTTAATTGAGAAAAACTTCGTCATGTTTTTTCGTCTTATCTCCCAACGGGTATAGGCATTCATAAACAATACGAAACGAAAACAATAAAGCACACAAATGCTGTCCCCACGACCGCCAAGTCCACATTGCAAAACCCTTTTGACACTGCCAAAGGCCTCGGGCGTGTCGGCCGTGAGCTGCTATAGTTGCACGGTGCAACCTCGCGTTGTGACGTCGTCTCATTACAGCCACGGGCGCCCTTTTTAACCGCCCTGAATGGGTCTCAAACGGCGTGGCTACAATGCGAAGCGAATCGCAATGAACCAAGGGAAAATCTCTCACTTGGACGCCTTCACAGCCTCCCCGAGACCCCCCACCGAGGCACAAGTCAGTGTTTTGCAGGCTTGCAGCGGTTTCTAATGCGAATAACTTAAAATGTTCTCTTCATTAGGCAGTTCACGTTGAAATAATCATTATATTTTTCTTTTTTTTAACACAGCAAAACTATTTATAGAAAAGTATTTTTAAGATAAAAATTTTTTCTCTCATCTCCAGCTGCTTGGTTGGGGGGGGGGGGGGGTTGGGGCGCCCCAACGCCCCTGTGGACGAACCGCGCCTGGTCACAACTCGCAAAGCAGAGTTTGTCAACCCATAAAAGGCTAAAGCCAGGGTCTGTATTGGTCGCATTGCTGCACGTGGCACCCACCACACCCAGTGTACTTCTCGCTGCAGATACCAGTCACGTGCCTTCGCCAATCTATCAGCAACTGAGAACATATTGTAGAAACAAAAAAAAAAAAAATCTCAGTTGCATCGAAACGCGCGACGACGGTTCGCAATTGCGCCACGGCTGATGTGACGGCCGTACCGTCCTTGGACATGCCGACCTCCAGGCACTTCTTGAAGCGGCAGTACTGGCAGCGGTTGCGGCTCGTGCGGGCGATGGGGCAGCTTTCGCTGCGCAGGCAACGCTTGTACTGCACGCTCTGTTGGATGCTGCGGCGGAAGAACCCCTGGCGGCACAAAAGGGCGCCGAAGCGCGGTTAGAGGGCTGGGCACGAGGTCGCGGAGAGACGAAGGTGGAGGGGTTGGTGATGCGAGATTCACCGGGCGGGCCGCGGGCCCGCCGACTCTCACCTTGCAGCCCTCGCAGGCGTGCACGCCGTAGTGCAGCCCCGAGGCGATGTCGCCGCACACTTTGCAGTAGAGAACCATGGTGCTGAGCTCTGGCACGTGCACAAAGGGGGACAAAGACAACCATCACCCGTGTAGCCTTCAGCAGACCGTTGGGGCGAGTGCTGTTCGCGAGCAGCACCTACGAAGGCCGGCGCGGCACACGAAGGGGTTGGTGGATTGGCCACGCCCGGCCGCCTTTGTCTCTCCGGTGTCGATGGTTACACATCGCACCAGGTACTCATTTGAGGCTGAGTGCAATGGCACACATGCACACGCACTTACACACATATACACCAACTCAAATTTAAATCAATCACACGACAATCCGAACGTTATTTTCATATGGCAACTATCATAAATGTTCAGTCCGTTATATTTTTGTTTGCTTTATGTGATTCCAACTGTGTTGTAGGCACCATTCAGTATTCTTGCAGCTGCCAATGCGACACTCTGTCAGACAATGCCCCAGGTAAGTAAATAACAGATGTCCCTGTAATGCCGATCTCATTCTGCACATGGGGCACACCTGTCGCCCGCTCTATGCGCTGCAAGCAGTGATCATCGCATCTCTATAAAACTTGGGTTTCCTTTCTCAGCAGATGGAATCAGCCACATTATTAGAATTTTTTTTTATTATAAAATACAATAACGATGGGTGAGCAGGCCGAGGCTGCTCGCTGCACTCCAGGACCCAGTTCAAGCACGGGTGGCTGATGCCTACGTTTAAATCCAGGTCTCAGCGGTGCTGGTGTCAGAATATGTTCTCCCAGGAACACAAAGTCTACATCGATGAGGTTTTCAACTCAAACCTTAATTTTAAGACCGCTTTCCAAACCTATTTGTGAAACTGGTTGCTCATTTTGCTATGAGCATATTTTGACTTTTTTTTTAAAATCTCATCTGTGCGGTCACGACTTTGTCTTAACTAACGTAGCACAGCATCTGAACCCTAACCCAGGGTACAGCTAAGGAGGGGTGGAACAAATGTTCGCTGATTTCGATACAAATATTTCACTTCCCTGGTGGAACAAATATTCGGGAGAGCCATCATTCGCCCAGTTGAGTGCTCTGGCACCTGAGCCACCCATCTCTAAGTGATGTGGAACATTAAAGATGCCCCTTTTGTCGTTACGCTGCTGCTGCTGCGTACTGGGCGTATTCTTGCTGTCGTGGTTGGGCCGGCTGGGCGAGGATGGATGTCGGGTGGGGCCTTCCTTCCGTGGGTGGCACCGGGGGGGTGGCAGCTGGGAGAGGCCGGCGCCGTGGCCGGGGAAGAGAGCGGCGGCGGTGGCGGCGGCGGCGGCTCCCAGGGCGGGCAGCGAGTCCGCGCTCGGGCAGCGCCGGGCCGGAGAGGGTGAGCGAGGCCGCGCTCCGCTCGGCCAGCCCGGGCTGCGCGACGCCGAGCGGGCGAACACGATCACGCCTGGGGGAGACAGGCGCCGAGATGAACGGGGCATCGACGGCGGCGGCTCCGGTGGCTTCGCTTCGGCGAGAGGGTTTTGGAACGTCACCACGCCACGGTGGCGAGATGTGAAGTACATCGCCGCCTGGCGTGTGAGGGACGCGTGGGTTCGACCCCGACCCTGACGCCTGTATATTTGGAGTTTGCGTTTGCCCTCCGTGGTCACCAATTTTTTCTCCGAGTCCTCCTGTTTTTCCCCTTCACATTTAGAAACGACACGCGTTCGCAGTATTTGGCTGCGGTGAAAGACATTCCACGCGATAAGCCACTCCATTGAGCTATCATTTGTGACTTTGTGACCAGGTCGCTTCTGCAAAAAAGAGCTAAATAGCTCTACTGGGCATTACCCGGTAAAATAAAAAAAGCATAGTTTAGTTTTGTTTACTCTCAGCGCGAGCAGCACCAGGGATCGTGTCTCCATCGAGCAATCGAAATTTGTCCCGAGTGAAAGGAGTGAAACACCTCCCCCCCCCACCCCGCCTTCCCTCTGTCCAACTCCCCCATCCTCCCACCACCATCTCTTCATGGCGTGGCATCCGGGGGCCCCCTACGTCTCCCCGAGTGCACCGGTGGAGTCGCGTCGCCTGCACGCAACTCGACAGCGAAGCCACCGTGCGGGGCCCACAGCGAGCCGGCGGTGGGCGCTTCCCCGGGTGTGAGCTCAGGCCCGTGAGGAGCTGACGCGCGGCGCCACGGGCTAACCCACGGAGTCTCGGGTGCCATCTCAGGCCGGGCTAAAGCTTTCGCGGTGCCACGGCCCAAATAATGTTACGAGCTGTGACAGGCTGCTCATTTACAAACGAACAAAAAAAACAACGAGGTTGTCACATTATTCGCACGTGTCTACCTAGAGTAAAAACAAATTCCGCAGCGCCGCAGTTGTCCCGCCCGGGTTGTGTTGCGATGGGTGGAGCATCCCGTGGACTCAAAGACATGGGGCGACCCACGCCGACCTGGCGAAACGGCGTCCGGCCATCCAGGAAGATCAATCGAAAACAGCCGATAAATCACTCCCAGCCGGGCGATTTGCGTTGCACTTAAAATACCCTCCTCTTCCCCCCCCACACACACACAATGACGACGCCGAGGACGGGCTGGGTGCGAGCGTCGCGATGAGCGGGTGGCTGTGACCGGCACATCGATGCTGGGGCAGGCACGGCACCCACACAGCGGTGGTGGACGTGCGTGGTGGCTGCAGTTACCGTGCGTCATGTTTGCGAGTTACGGACGGGCGTTAAATGCAGCCGGGCTCTGTGACCCAGAACGTATTTCTGCGCCCGGCACAACACCACATCCAGTATATTGGAACGGCTCTTCTTTCTGATATTAGGAAGTCACTGGGGCGATACACTTTTAAATCACCTAGAGAGAAAACTCGTTTCGTTCGAGCTGCTTTTTGTGTGTTTAGTTTGTTGTCCTTCCCCCGCACCTCCGATTAGTGCGTTTGGCTACGATGCGATGCGAAGGAAGTTCAAAGTGCTTACATAAGTGCCTCTCACAACGGCTGTGGCAACTCCCAATCACGTGCTACCTACCCCAGTCTACCGGCAACTCGAAAAAAACATTCGGTAAAAAATTAAGCCCCGAGGTAGAGCCCTAATTAGAACCGATAAAAATGCACAAGACGCGTTACCCTTGAAATTAATGTACTGCACACACTGTGAAACTTGTTCCTGACAAACTCCAACAAAAGCCAGGGTGTAAAATTGTACTCGTGTTCACACAACGCTTAGCCTTGGCCAAACGCCGAGAAGCAACACGAGGAGGAGGAGGAGCCTTATTTTAGTCGATCTCATTGCGACGATGAGCTGGACGAAAAGAAACCCATCCATAGAGGTGGGAGAAGGAATGGTCTGCAGGAGGTGATCATGGGGCGAGTATATGGCAGTGTTCTTCACTAATTTTCAGAGTGGGGGGTGGGGGATGGGGGGGGGGCAATTTCGCCGATAAGACATCATCAGTGCGAGGGCCGCCACACCGCCTGCCAAGGGGTTCTTTTCACCATTTGCCTCTCGTCTCGTGGTGCCTCACATCAGGGGGCGCACGAAAGGTCACCAGAGGACGCCAGTGGCCCGCGGGCCTTGCCGTTAAGACCGCCGCTCTGTGGGGGAAAAGGCCGGGAGAGGAGGACGAAGAGACACAAACCTTGCGTCATTGCCCTGCCACTCGTCGCCGCCAAGATTCTACCACGCTTCGCTCCAAACCACCGGGGACTTGCCGGATCTTGGAGGCTGAGCTGGCTTGAGCCAGGATAGTTGCCTGGATGGGCGACCGCCGGGCACAAACAGCTGGCTAGAGGCTGCGGGTCTCTCTGCGCAGGGCGCAGCAGTTTCCATCGTGCTGAATGTTCATCTGCCTTCACGAAACCCGCTCCGACCAGGGCGGTGAAGTATGGTCAAATACATCTCGCGACCCGCGCACGTGCAGTGGATTGCCAACGGCGCCGGATGCGTACAATTCTGCTGGCTGGGCTTACCCTGAAACAAACTCGGATTCGTGCAAGCGCGCCACCCCCCTTCTCACGCCGGCCAGCGCACGCGTGCACCACGCGGGATCTGGGGATGGTGGTCAGTCCCCCCTCCTGGCAACACCCAGAAATGTCCCTTTGGCGCTGCCCACGTTCGTGGCTCCCTCCAAGCCCAGAGAAGCTGCAGCCGGGCTCCGTTTATAGAATTAACTAGGGGCGCTGTGTCTGTCACGCGCAAGGCAACACAAACGTGGGCGAAGAAACAACAACAGCAGCAACAATAACCCCACAGGGCGAAATGCCACTCACCCAGCACGGTGTGCGGCGAACGAGGCTCAGTTCACTCACTCGGAGCCACCGAGTCGCGAGGGAGGCACGCGGCTCTCACTCCTCCTCCCTTCTCCCTCCGCGGCGCTCGCTCCGAGTTTCTCCCACTCGCCCTTTGCTTCCCGGCGTCATGCGAGTGTGCGTGCGCTCGTGCGTGTGTGATATATGCGCGCGTGCGTGTGCGTGTCTTCACCGCTGACGCACGCGAGGGGTCCGTGGGGAGGAGTGCGATCCAACCACGCGGCGTCACTCGCTCACGCGCGAAGGCACGCGGCACGCACGCGCTCGCACTCTACAAAGACAAAGACACCCCCACCCCCCGTATAGCCTTAACAGACTGCCGGGGCAAGTGCTGTTAGCGAGTAGCAGCAACTGTGAAAGTCGGGCACGGGCACACGAGGAGCTGAATGGCCAGGCACTACCCCCGGCCGCCTTTCTATCCCCAGTGGCGATGCTTACACATAGCACCGAGTGATAATTTGAGGCTGAGTAGACCTAAAGGGAGGGCCCAGGACTGGTTCAGATAATCGTCACTGGCATTGGCCGGGTTTGTAGCGAAGCGCACGAACCGATATTGTACACCGCCGTTCCCCGCAGGAAAACACTCACCAACTCACAATCACTTTGCTAGACACATTCACTTGACGGGTCTAGAGTAGAGCACGTTATTAAGAACCCACCCGCGTGGTTTTAAGCCCATTCTTATTGACGGAAGGGTCTATAATAGAGTGGTTAAAACGATTACCAGTTTTGAAAGCCAGGGACCGGTAACCTGTTTTTTTGAGTGGCTATTTCAGAGGAGGTGGCCGTGCCCACGCTTTACTAATCTCGTTGCGTACCCACTCGTGTTGATGTCCAACAATAAACGTCGGACAACTGTGTGGAACGGAACGTCGGACGTCGTGTGGCGAACAACCCAACAACCCAGATGTAACAACCCAACAACCAAACTGCACAACCCAACAACCCAGCTGTAACAACCCAACAACCCAATAACCCAGCTGCACAACCCAACAACCCAGCTGTAACAACCCAACAACCCAATAACCCAGCTGTACAACCGAACAACCCAGCTGAACAACCCAACAACCAAGCTGCACAACCCAGCTGTACAACCCAACAACCCAGCTGCACAACCGAACAACCAAGCTGCACTACCCAACAACCCAGCTGCACAACCCAACAACCAAGCTGCACTACCCAACAACCCAGCTGCACAACCCAATAACCAAGCTGCACTACCCAACAACCCAGCTGCACAACCCAACAACCCAACTGTAACAACCCAACAACCCAACAACCAAGCTGCACTACCCAACAACCCAGCTGCACAACCCAACAACCCAACAACCCAACTGTAACAACCCAACAACCAAGCTGCACAACCCAACAACCCAGTGGTGCAACCCAACAACCCAGCTGAACAACCCAACAACCAAGCTGCACAACCCAGCTGCACAACCCAACAACCCAGCTGCACAACCCAACAACCCAGTTGTAACAACCCAACAACCAAGCTGAACAACCCAGCTGTACAACCGAACAACCCAGTGGTACAGCGACAACATGAATACCGAAACGAGGTGTTTTTGTTATTTCACCAGATAAGGCCCACTGAGCTATACAGCTCATCTTCAGACGCGACCCGAACATCACAAATGATAGATATGTAGTGGAGTAGGAAGGCGTGCTGGGGAAACTGCGCGAGTGTATTGATCACAGGGACAGTGTGGGGTTTATCTGGGGTCAGCCTGAGGAGCCGGCGGAAACAGTGGGGTCGTGTTAGGACAGCCAGGTGAAGAGGCTGGGGTGATGAGGTAACGGTCGGGCCAATTAAGCCAGATGGGCTGTGATTGGTTGGTGCTGTTGCTGGGGCCGAGGAGGCGTCGAGGTGTCTGGAAAAAGGGGCAGGTGGTTGAAGACGCGAGGCGTGCGGAGGCACGCGGACCAATTGATTAGCGATAATGAGAATGGGGATAAATTGGGGGGAGACACACAGAGAGAGAGGGGGAGATTGGAGTTGGGAGCTGTGCGGTGAAGACGTGGAGTTCCGAAACAG